AACAAATGCCGACCCAACAGACACCAAGATCATCCCCTGGCTCGAGTGTGTCCGAAGGCCTGCAGCCCCTCGGAGCTGGTGGATGCTATGACCAGCAGCGACCGCCTGCGCTTGGCGGCCGTGCTGTTTCGGGGGGTCTTCGCCCAGCACGTGGCGACGCCCTGGACGGCGGGGCGTCCAGTTGAGTCAAGTCGGGCTGTCATGAGGGCTGGGAGGTTGGAGGTTGGGTCCCATCTCACAAACTTGGAGATCAAGCAGCTTCATGGCCTTTTCCATCGAATGGATTTTCCATCTACGGTATGGCTCGGTCAGGTCCTGGGAAGGTCTTGGGGTGAACAAGCGAGGTTGTGGAATTTGACTGGGTGGGTGATTGTGGTAGAAAGCCAAACCTTGTGAGAAGATTTACCTGATATTGACCGTCGTCGCAGGGCGCATGATGTGGGGGATTCCTGCATCATTGGACTTTGGCATTGTTGGCATTTGCGTATTGCGGGCAAGCAAGCGTCGAAAACAAGCTTATGGGCCAACAGAGTTGAGCTTGTGGTCAAATCACAGGTTGTGCCTGTTTTCTCCTTTCTGAATGGTGTACGACCATACTGACATGGGGATGCTGTTTTTTGTTTGTGTCTGATTTGTTTTGGCATGTGCCCAGATACTTCTCAATTGGATGAGTTGGATGACTGCAACTGCACCGCCATGTTTGTGAAACAATATGATTTTGGGTGACAGTTGAAAATAAGGAGCCAATACTCTGCATTTTGTCATGGAACCCCAACCTGTTAGGGGCCTCCAAAGCCGAAACAAATGTATGTTTGGGGGAGGGAAAGTCCTGTTAATCTGCAGACACGATCAGGGTTGTCTCTCGCTGTCAAGCCCGCATGGTATTTTAGGTCGTGCCATCGGCCCAGCACTCGCGTGCCACATGAATCGCTTTGAGGGCGGTGCTGCTCGATGTGTTTGTGATGCGTACAGCTGTGGAAATAGTGGATGCGGAAAGAACCCTGTTAGCAAGCTCCCTTTTATAAGATATTGCATACACATGCACCAATATGGTCATGATTTGTTCGCGGTATGCGTGATCCTGCTGTTTGATTTGCTCATCTCGATATGGACAGAGGATCCTGCTAGTCTCCCAAGACTCTCGGATTTGGGAAAGAGGGTACTTCGCAGTCCCAGCGGCCAGGCGCTCAACTCCCGGCCAGAGGTCACTGGCTTTTGGGACGGCCAAGCCAGCGGTGAAATGTGCTACACCTTGTCCAAGGACCCTCAGGGCCAACTGGGTGTTGTGTTCCTTTTTGTTGGTCGAGAAAACTTGAAGCTGCCCCAGAACGCACGCGCGGAAGCGTTGAAGGAGTTCTGTGGAAGGCCTGGCAAAGCGTAAGCGTCAGGACAGCAAAGCGACAGCTAGAGCAGAAACAAAGACAAATCGCATTGCGCCAAAGACCAATTATTTTATCACGACATCCTTGCGGTAGCCTCGGTGGGCTGTGCAAAGTCATTTGTTAGTTCACTTTGAGCTGACACTCCACGTGCAGTGTTCAACAGACGCAACATTTGCCTTCGCCCAGACGTGCACACACACACACACACACACACACACTTCAACTCCCGAGGGAGAGATCTAATCTTTCGAGTACAACCGGTGAGTCTCGAGTGGGTGGGTTTTCGAGTGGCGAGACCGATGGCTTCTCTCTAGCGTCGAAAACGTTACAAGATCCAACATGAAGCACACACACACAGCAAACGAAACAACAGGCCAAAAAGACTTTGTATCACTGGTGCAGGTACACAGAGCTGATCAGGCTCTGCTTCCCGTGCAATCAGGCGCTGCTTCCCGTGCAATCAGGTAGCTTCCCAGACGTGCACACACACACACACACAGCTGTGCCCGCGCAGGCAGGCGCGTGCACAGACCCCTCACGCTTCAGACATGTGCGCGGGAGCAAGGCACCCTCGACAGGCTGCAATCTGGAACACAGAGAGGCGTTGTGCTCGTGTGTCCCTTTCGTTGGACGCGGCTCACCTCCAAAATCAACTTGGGCAAAGTACCCAGATGTTCAATTTTGCGACCGCACACCTATGATGCAAGCTTCTTCTTATTTCAGGCTGGTGAATCTTCATAATTCACGGTAAGGCTGGAACGCTCTCAGTCCCGCGGGTTGTTCCAGCATCCTTGCATGTCCATGTTTGATAAGACCCTTTTTTTCCTTGTAGCTGTTTTTGGTCACGACTTGGTTGCCCTCCCTCCAGCACTCATGGCAACTTCCACTGGAAAAAATGTATGACAAGTTTTCCTGTAAGCCAATAAATCCCAGTTAGGTTTAGGTCTGGAGGGCTCGTTCCACATGTCTGTCCTTTGCTTTCCGCAGGACTGGCTCGACTCCTCTGAGTCTATGGCGCCTTCGCAGCACAAAGGTAGGGAGTGGTTCACCAAACAAGCAATCCGCTCCCCGTATGATTAAGTCACCCTGAAGCTGTTCCTGTCCCTGACTGAATCTGAAGCCTCAATGACTCAACACTTATCCAGACTAGGCCACTGCTGAACAAAATCTGCACCTGCGAATTTCCCACTGGCCCCAGCTGTAGTCGCATTTGGGTCCTCCCCAAAACAGCTTCAAGTCTGATCTAACTAACTTCATATATCAAGTTGCAATTTCGATTGCACCATTCAATTTTGAACTGACCAGTTCCCTTGAAATATTGTGTCAACGGTGCCGAAGCAGAAACTGCCATGATCCAACTAACGATGTTGCTTCCCAATAGAATGTTTATCAGTGGGGCCCCAATTTGTCAAGGTGGTTTGGCCAAAGAATGCAACCCCTATCAATCAATGGTTGGAGTATTCTCAGGGCATATGAGAATCGCATTTTTCCACCCGGAATTAGCCGTGTGCGATGTTTGGAATATTAATTCCGTAAAGGGTGTTGTTCCGACCTCCAGCCTGTTGTTGGCGAGCCTTACAATGCAAAAAGGGGATCAGACAAACTGGTTAGGTTGTAAAGAAGGCGGGTCCGCATTCCCTAATATGAGCAAAGGACAATATTAGAGCTGTGCATGGCTTTTGCGGTTGTTCCCGTTCGGCGGTGTCAATATGTGCCCAGGCCCAATTTGAGACGTACCCATTTTGCCGAACAAAAGCACATTGGTTTCAGAGCTGCTTCCCCACTGGCCCAGGCGCATTCTGGGAAAGAATGCCGTGCATTGTGAAACCTGTGTAGTATATGTTTCTCGTATTAGTATACATATTATATACATTGATATACATAGAGCGAGAGAGATGCGCATGTATCAAATTGACCACAAGTTCTGCTCACCAAAAGTTGAGAGCCGTCTCTTGTGCCTGAGAAAACGAGATTTGTTCAAGCCAGTTGCTCGAACTCCCATGTTTTTCATGCTTGCTCGACTTTCACTGCACCCACTTTTGTTAGGGATTCAATGTGGAGTCGTTGGGGACCCTCATTTTGATGATGTAACCTGGTGGTCAAGAGGTCACTCGGGGTTAGTGTCCTCTTCTTTTTGTTCGACCGTTCACTTGTTCGACCGGTTTTGGAGGTCTTTGATCCACCCAGTGTCGGTTTGATTTTGGTCTTTTGCAGGTTTCCACTTGGTTTTCCGCCTTGGTACGATTTCCTTTGCAAGTAGAAAGTGCTCCAACCACATCCAACCACCCAGTTGAGACAAACCTGCCTAGACTCTCCGCACTGCTTGTATGGCCCTGTTTTCTCATATTGTGGATTTTCAGCTGAGAGACCCCCAGTTAAGATGCTTACAACCCCATTCGGCCTTGTAAAATATCCACGCACCTAAGAATCATGAAGCGGCGTGCCCCTGATTGGTTTGCATAGCTTTCCATTTGGCGGTCAAACACAGGTGGCGTCCTACTGTGGATTGCGGATATATGTTTGGGGAATCCCCGCATGTTTATACACAGGCCTGATGTTCTTGATCTTATCGCAGGTTTTCGACCGGAAGAATGATACCGGGGGTGGAGAAAGTCCACTTCGCACCGCTGATGAATGAAACCCCATGAATGATAAACTGTTTTTCAACTGGTGTTCTGCATGGGGGAATGTAATGTGTTCTCAACTTGTGTTCCTTATGCATCAACTGATGCCTGCATGCATGCCTGCATGTGTTTCTCCGTGAACCTCGGTGGTTTGCAGGCGCTTTCGCGGAACATGAACGGGCAGATTGTCTTCGTGTCCCACTGTTGGAGCGCGCCAACTGGCTGGGCGGGGAGCCCAAGGTGTGAAACAACGAGATTGGGTTTCGGCCAGCGGTTTCAGTGTCCTTCTGGTAGAAAAAATCATGGGCCTTGCAATGGCTCCCTAGTACCTCCGTACTTCCGATGTGCCCTTGGTCTACTTCTCAGAAGCAAAGAAGAGGATGTGGCAGAATGGTTGGATATCCTACAGAATGCAGCCCAAAACACCATATCGGAGGCAAAGGATGTTGAAGGTCCTGTTGCCGGGATACCTTGTTGCCACTTTGGAGCCGATTTGGGGTTGTCTTAGAATAGGGTACCCCCAACATGGTTGATTTGCTGTTGGTTTTCCGTCAAACCGACCTGAAAATGGTACTCTCCAAAAGGCAGACACTGTGACACGTGGGTGTGTCGTATTCTTCGGTTTTTCAGCAAGAGGAGTTAGATCCCTTGAAGAACTTTTTCGGGTGTTCTTGAAAGCAGGCACCCAAGTGGCCTAAAGACAAGCAGACACGCCTTCGAGTGGTTCACACCGGATGATTTTGAGGTTTCCCCACCGCAAGTTTGTTGGTGCTACTCCATACTCGCCTCCTTGAAATGCCTTTGATCTCTTTGGACGTCAAAGCGTGGCTCTTGTGACCGAATCATTTCTCCGCCCAACGTCGGAGCCCTTTTTTGGAACCGCTCTTGCGGGAAGTTGCAACCCGGTCTTTTTGAGGGTGGCCTTTTGGATGCAGAAGAGAGACCACCTATTTTGAGGGATCCATATCCGATCAGAAGCCCACATCGTGCCAACTTTGGCCCATTTGTTACTAACCCTTTAAAACTTCGCACGGCATGAGCCTTCATGTCACCAGTTGCCTAGTGGTGCCCTTGTTTCCTTTTTTTGGGGAAGGGTTCCCCTTTAAAGTCAACCAACCAAACAAGGATGCCCTTTTCTCGCATGGAAATCCATTGGGCATCTGATCAAATCTGCAGCCCCTATGACCAAGCTCTGCGGTTGGAACCCTGAGGTCATGGCCCCCATGTGGATCCTTTGAGACGTATTCGTGCCGCAAGCTTTTCTCGGAGAGAGACGTGTTTTTCTCCCCACTTTGGGCAAACCATCTCCCCGGCGTTCGGCCTTTCGGTGAGGTCAAGTGGCTTTGATTTGGGGAAAGGGAAAAAGCGGCATCCAGCTACAGGAAGTTCCCTGTTTTGGGTGGGTGTTTGGCCCATTTCCTGTAGAATTTCCTGTAGGTTGTAACTCTAAGCTCCCGAGCATCAAGCCACAGGACCAAGTGAAGTTCACTTGAGCCACTTCCTGACCGCTTCGACTTTTGATTTAGAGAGCCATGGGCTCTTTGGATCCTCTTTCGAGTCATGTGTTGACTCGAGTCAACCCGGAACCACGGCCTTAAAATGTTGGTGTCGTCTTTCGTTGCCCTAGGGCGACAGCATGAACACCAGCTACCCGCGCCTTGGACCAATCGAATCTCACCCAAGAATCAACGGAAGCTAGCCCCTGGTTTGGCCGCAGGAAAATTGGGTGTGTGCTTTTTCGAGGGTACCCTTCTCGGGTTGGTTTAAGGGAACCAAGGGATGTGTGTGTGTGTGTGTGCCTGTGTGTTTCTTGCGGGGGGGGGGCTATTTTTGACACAACCAATGGGCAGGCGTTGATGGGATGTGGAAGAATTTGGGATTCGGCGATGCTAGCCAGACCTCGATTCAGATGGCATCAGACGGACGTCGCCCACCTGACATTCAAGGCTGTCAGACAAGGAGTTGTGAGGAGGACATGGGACCACCCATCAACGAAAACCAGGGAGGGACACCAAAGGAGCCTGAGCCTCTGTTTGAATGGCAAGCAGCTCCAAAAGGGGTGAACTCATTTTGAGAAGACAAGGAAGCCTTCTGTCGCCCGGAGGACCCAACTCGCTTGGGTTCGATCACACTCTGAAGGGTGTTTCCCAGGATGTGTTGTGTGAACTCCCATTCAGGTGGTTGGTGTGTTGTGTTGGTTTCCTCAAGAGAAAAGCATCGCAAAGAGGTTCCTGACTCTGACTTGATTGCCCTTTTCATCTCACCAAAGCAGCCTTTTAGCTTTCCGGCTAATGACAACCACTAGCCGGGAAATAGTGTAACTCTTTGCAGAATCGCAAAGATGAGTTTTGGAATTCCCCACCCGACAGGAAGGGGTTGTTAGATTTTATGTTGGAATCCGCGTTTGCGATGCTTCTACACCACGCCCCCACCCAGTATCCCGCCAGAGCAGTTCGCCAGTGGATCCCGCCGAGTATCCCGCCAGAGCTGCTCACCAGTGGATCCCGCCCAGTATCCCGCCAGAGCGGCTCGCCAGTGGATCTCGCCCAGTATCCCGCCAGAGCGGCTCGCCAGTGGATCCCGCCGAGTATCCCGCCAGAGCTCGCCAGTAGCGGCTCGCCAGTGGATCCCGCCGAGTATCGTGCCAGAGCAGCTGGCTAGTGGATCCCGCCCAGTATCCCGCCAGAGCTGCTCGTCAGGTGATCCCGCCGAGTATCCCGCCAGAGCGGCTTGCCAGTGATCCCGCCGAGTATCCCGCCAGAGCGGCTCGCCAATGGATCCCGCCGAGTATCCACTAGCTCACCAGTGGATCCCGCCAGAGTAGCTCGCCAGCATCCCACCAGAGCAGCCTGCCAGTGGATCCCGCCAAGTATCCCGCTGATCCCTTGCCGGTGGATCCTGCCGAGTATCCGTGGCTCGCCAGCATTCGCCAGTGGATCCCGCCAATATCCCGCCAGAGCAGCTCGCCAGTATGGTTTTGCTTACTGTCCAAAAGGGCCGATTTGAATTTGGAGTCGAAGTCTCCAGGATGCGGAATAATTTGTTGTAACGGTCGTAAGCTTGTGAGTGTGGAGGGTGGGGATTGCTCGAAGCGAAGTATTTTGTCTGTTTTTTTTAACCACGAACCAGCAAACAGTTCAAGCCTTCCAGGGGTTCACGCATCCCATTTTGAGGGTCCGCCTTTTTTGACACATTCCCAGTTGTTCACCTCACAATCAATGATTTGCATGCCCCCAATCCCTTTCGTCTCTGTCTGTGTGTGTGAACTGTCTGATAGCAAAGACCCACATCACCGCACGTACCTGCATCTATTTCAATACCCGGCTTGATGCCACTGCAGCAAAGAAGACAAAAAGGGACCGCTACTCCTTTCGAGGAGCTCTCCTAGCGTGTGGAATTATACGGCTGCGCACCGTTCGCGGAGCAGTCGTGAGCCCAGACGAAGTCTGGCCAAACAGCAACCTTTTCCTTGCTCATTACACGATTGCACGCGCGAAATCTCAGCTTGATTTGACTGACACTGTCCTTGTCAACAAATGACCTGATTCCGACCTGATCATCCCTGAACCAGTTTCTTCATGCTCTTGACTAGAGCTCGACGGCTCGAATGATCTAAGAGCATCAAGAGAGACAGAGAGACTATGGACCTCACCTTTGGCCGACCGTGCTTGGACATCCGTTTTGATCCAGGTCAAGCCATAGAGATCATCATCCAACGGTTGAGACGGTGTCCTGTGGACGCCGGAGAAAACGCGATTTTGAATGAGAGCTCTACTCCTGAACTGCCAGGAGTTCCAAATGTGTGAACCGTCTAATAGCAAAAACTTTTCTTCCAGGATGCCGAGTTTTCACCGTATCCGTGTTTCAACATGTGGGGGCAGCGGCACCCACATCAGCGCTCGGCTGGGATATGCGGCCTGATCAGCCGCACGTACCTGCATCTATTTCAGGTGCAAGGTCTGATGAAGGATTATCATCATCAAAGGGAGTGATTTAACACGGTAAACGCCTCCTTGCCGCACCTATCCGGACGATGAATCGTCCCAAGTTTGGACTTGCGTGGTTTTGCTGGGAGAAAGGCTTCATGCCGACTTTGAGTTGCCTGGCCTTCGCAACAAACGGGTAGGCCCTGTTGAGCATACGGCAAAGTAGCGATGACGTTGATCCATCTTACTTTCGGCCATGGATAGACTTGATGTAGTTGTTGATATTCACGAACATGTTGCCTGCATGTCAATGTGGTTGTGTTGTTTCCAACCAACTGCGTCCGTTCTGAACTACTCATTCACCGACGCAGTGTCTTCTGCTTCGGGCTCCTCCTTGGGCATCTTGCGCTGAGCATGGCATTTCTTTGCCAAGGATTCTTATGGTCTCACCCCATGAGCTAATTCAATGCTGCAAGAAATAGGCGAACCCCCTTAAGGCAAAACACGTGAACTCGATGATATTGGGCAGAATGTGGTAGTAACATTGTTGAAAAGCTCTTACACGGATACGTACCAAGTTACCTCACCCTTCTAGAGATCCTATCCCACTTCCTTTGAGACAGCTGCGCGGCCGAAGGCAGACGAAGGCTGCGGCGGCGCGGCTGTAATTGGTGGGTTTGGTGGCGTCTACATGAAAATGCCCGAGGTAGATGGGAACCAGGAGGAAACCAAATCATTATGTAATGCAGTGGGGAAACCCCACTACCATTTCCCCTCAAGGTGGGACAAATCTTCTTTCGGAGCACTGTAAGGGCGCCAAGCAACCCAGGTACTGCTTTGCTTAGTTCCAGGGTTTTGCTGTTTCTCGAGGAGTGAAGTACCTTTCAATTTCCAATCCAGTTTCGTGCGATCTGTTAAATCTGGATCGGTGGCAAACGCCAGGGCTTTATTCGGAAGTGCTCCTGGAAATCCAACAGTTCTGAGCAGTTCCAGATCAAAACACAAGGGTTGATTGGTGAGATTTACTTGTGAAGATCGATTCGACCGAATGTGAGCAACTTTCGCAAGGGTTGATCGGCCCAGTTGTTGAAAGTGCGCGTATCTTGCCAAATTCAGCTGTCATGACCGGTGGACTCTTCAAGTGCAACCCAAGAAATGTGTGGTGTCCCATTGTTGTTTTCTCTCGGTTTTCAAAAAGAGTTGCCCCCCTGTCCACTAACCTGGAACCTGCCTGAGGGGTCTGGAAGACAATTTTCCAGTAAAAGGGACTTTCTGGCAGGTTCCATGTTAGTGGACAGGGGGGGTAATTACCTTCTTTTGCAGCCACGAGCTTCCGCAAAAGGAGTCTAAACACCGTTGAGAAGCCGGAGAAAGCAAAACACGGGCCAAACAGCGAGTCATGGCAATGGCAGTTGAAGTGGAATGTGTTTCTATGTGTTCCGATACCGTTGGACCCACAAAACTGGTTGGGTTCCCTTTGGCTTCACGTTTCAAGAGGAATCCAAAAAGAGGTCCAAAATGGACAGCTGGGAAAACCAAGAGGCAACAACACCTCCGATGGGGAGCCTGCTTCTGCGCGGAGACCACTTGTTGAAAGGCAACCCAATCAAGCACAAACAATGTACATAACCCAGACATGATAAAGACCAACGATGCGTACGTACAGGGCGGATCTTTGGGAAGACACTTTGGTGTTTCCTGAAAGGGGCCCACAAAAACTGCACAAGCCTGTTCACAGTTCTGCTTGAGACACTACTTGCCTGTCTCTCCCCCCTCCCCCAATAACCCCCCCCAACTCCCGCTCCTCATCTCCGAGGAGGTGTGCAGCTACGCCAAGGAGTTGGCGGGCAAGCTCTTTGAAGATCCAGACCTCTGGGGCCGCGTGGGCTTCTGGATCGACAAGGCGCATGTCCAGGGTGGACGGGTTGAATAGCTTTTGTTTTTGGTCTTGCTCGGGTCAACCGACGGGAGGGGGTGGACCATTTTGGTCAAAAGGTGTGGAGTGTGGTTTGGAAAATCAATCGGAAGTGAGTTGGGGAGGCCAGGAAGCCTGCAGTTGGTTGAAGCTTTAGGGACTAAGTTGGCTAAAAGATTGGATTCAGAGATGTTGCTGGGGCCGAATTACCCCCGCATTTCCCCTTTAGCGTAGTGGCGTGAAGGTAGTGGACACCATTTCCACTCGCAGCGACCTTTTTTGATGAGAAGCCACAGCTGAAAAATCCGCTTGGACTCATGAGTTGCTCCTGATGGGCGGCTCCCCTCATGGTGTCCCTTTCAGAAGCTCACATTTCTGGCTTCGGCCTCCAAACCACACACCCTTGTCTTCCCTCTCGCGGCTGAAATTGCCCCAGGCCTGCATCCCGCAGACCGACCCAACCCTCATGGCCCTCTGCGTGAATCTGCTGGAGGAGTTTATCGCCCTCTCGGCCGCTCGAAGCCTTTGGTGCGCAAGGAACGTTTGCAGAGAAAGTCTAGGGCAGAGGTCCTTTGTGGCTGATCCATGCATCATCTTTCGGGTCACTTTGACGTAAGCTTCCTTTCGGTGTGATGTTTAAAAGAGAGGAAAGGTGTTGTGGCGCGCCAGCCCGTGATTTGGCGTAAGTAAAAAAAAAAAAAAAAACGGGTTGAAGCAGTGCGATCTTGGGGGGAAACCGACTTAACAGAGTTCTCCTTTAGTGTTCCTGTCCAAACCCGACAATCCGGTCCCCGTGAGCACCGGAAAGGCCCAAGAGGGTCTGTCTCAACACAGCATCAAAATAGGATGTGGAGCCTTTAGTTTCTCTTCATCCAAAACGATGTCCGAAAAGAGAGATACACCCATTGGGCAGCCTTGGATCTTTATATCCGAGAGACACCATTCAGTTCGAGCCCCCCCCACTTGAGAAGCACCCAAAGGCCAAGTGATGGTCGGAAGACTTCGGCCCAAAAGGCCAAAAGTTGTGCTGACGGGATCATTTGGTTCGGTGGCCTCAATCTCAGGAGTCCTCATTGTACAGTTCAGTTGCCTTCATAAGGAATGAAGCTAGGGAAATCGGGTTCCTATGGAAGATACTAAGCCCATGATGTAGTGTATCAGTGCACAAAAGGTTCCATGTCAGATCAATCCAGAGGATCATACCAAGCGAACTCCTGATTCAGCGAATTAATTCTAGCCACTATTTAGAACGGAGTTCTTGATCCATTGATTTGTGTAATCCTGCTTTAATGAGCCTGAAGTCGACATTCGATCGAGAGACTTGGCATATGGTGAGCTGGACAACTACAGATTGAGAACGAACGACTATAACTGAGAGATCGTGCCATTCAAATTTGAGCTTCCATTCTATCAGCCTCCATCAATAAAATGTGTGTATTTTGTTCGTACCTTGTTTGGGCCATACGATTGGCCGAAATAACCGGAATTGAGGCTGCGGAGGTGTAAAAAACCAAGTTAAGTCACGATCTTGAGATACTAGAGTGCAATTCACTATCCAGCACGTTATATGACCCTTCTCGCCCAAGGATGGGATGATTGTGCTCGCATCCTGGAACTACTTCTCGAGGCGAGGGTCGTGGGGATGGATACCCAACGTCCCCAAAACCTACCCAGCGGAGGAACATAGCATGGACGCTCGGAAGGCCTTGATGGCTATTGGGAAATCCAGCAAGACATGGGAGTTGCTTGCCAGCCATGGCAGGGATTTTGCTAAGACCCAATCCCCGCTTCTCAGTTTGCCCAACCTGATGTTGGGTGTGTCAACCTGTACAAAGGCGTCCTGTTGGCTCCTTTTTGCAACCTATCCTAAAAGAGGTACCCAGTATTTAGGATGCGCTAAAAATCGTCAGAAGGGTGTTTGCTTCGAATCCCTCCTGGGTAGGAGACCATCCTTTCCGGGGGAGGGCGGGGGGGGGATTTGGGTATATGTTGTGTTTTTGAGGATACCTTTCTGGGATGGCTTTATGGAAAAGCGCCCGCCATTTTAGGGGGTGTCAAGCCATCAGGTTTCACCGTTTTGTTACATCAGCGGGCTAGCAGCTCGTCCAGTTTGAATGTCAAGTTTGCGAATTCGATCAGTGTGTTCTACAGGAACGCATGATGTTGCCAAGTTTGAAGCAAACAGTCAGAAAGCAAGCACGATATCCACGTTCTGCAATGGTTCCTGCGCGAAATGTTGAAGCTAAGGACTGGATGTTGGCGGCCCAACCATGCAAGATTCCAAGACTGCGACCCCAGTGAATGACATGTCCACGCTGTCCAGCCGCAAGCTCTAGCTTGGTGTCCACTACCACAAACCACTACCAATCGGTTGGGGTTGGGGGAGAGCATTTACAACAACGTTGACTGAGCTTTCCGTGTGCCTTCTTGGCTTCTCCACAAGTGAACAAGTATTTCAGCAATCTCGAATTTGTTGGCTTCCTGGGTTCATTTCAACTGGAATAGTGGTCCCTGCCGTCTGGCGGGCCAACAGACCAGGCGTTTGTTCAAAGCCAATCCTTTGTCTTCTTCTTGAGAGTGACCCTGTTTTTCTCAGTGATTATGCAAACTCGGAGCAGTCCAAGCCATGTCCTGGCGCCAGATGCCTTGGCAGCTGTCCAATGCCAATTTTCCGCAGGCTGTGGTGCGTCTATGAGTGGGTGTGCGGACTCTTGATCCATGACGCCATGGAGATTGAGATTCTGGCGGACCCCTTCGTCCGAGATTCCACTGTGGCGCCTGGGAATTGGAAAAATGGTCAGCGTGTGAGATGGGCTCAGGGCAGTTGGGAATTGGAATTGAGTGCCTACTGGCTCGTTTGTGCGTTCAAAAGTTCAATAAAGTGAAGGAACCACTTGAAATATACGACATCCCTTTTGTTATTGGTTGTATGTTTAAACAGGTTGAGAGCAAATCTGTTGGGACGCAACCCGACCGAGGCGACCTACATCAAATGCATCCGCTTTTTTAGCATCTCGAAGTGCACCTGCAACAGCGACAAGGACAAGCAGCCACGCGGCCAGCACTTAGCAAAATGTGTGTTGTCTTGTGTTTTAATGATTTCGCATTTGGAGATTAGGGGCCTGGAGAGAAAATGCTACGTGTTAGATGAGTTGAATTTGCAAATGGCCACCTGCGCCAGCCAAAGACCCATTCGCGCAGACTGTGTCTTACTCTGGCTGCTTCCGCCATGTTGTTTTCACTTGGCGCGTTTCTCCAGACGCGCATATAGCACAAAGCCGGCCGTCCAGCGCACTTAGTGCTGGAAAGAGCTGTTCAAGGCAACCACGGGCCTGAATATCAGCCAATTTGGGCCATGTTCTCAGCGGTGAAACTGTTGTCACCCTCAGTGACGTTTGGACACATTGTCAAACATAGACTGAGTGTGATGGGCACCGGAATCAGCCCAAGAACCAGCTTCAGCATCTTCTGCATCCTGAACTCCATCCCATTCCGGCTTGCGCATGCCGAAGTTCGGCCAAGTGTTGTTTGACGACGTATGTATATGCCATAGTTTGAGAGTGTCAGTATCATACAGGACCACTGTACGCTGTAGGCTGAAATTCCTGTTCGATGATTGCCCCAGTTTCTGCATTTCGTGTTTGGTTTGGTCGTTTTGCGAAGAAAAATCCGTCGTTGTTTTTCTCGAAGCTTCAGGGCTGGAAAAACAGGCCATCAAGGGAAACAAGCAGTTTAGACTCAAGCGAATGGGCCAATCCCCCAGGAATTGCGGAAAGGTTGCAACTTGTTTCAGTGACTGACTGAGATGTGCACAGACCCTTCCGAGGACACTCATTGACAAGGTCCAGACCTACTACAAGCCGCACAGCATTAACTTTACGTTGAGAATCAGTGTTCCACTCCCAAATCCCTACGCCCACGCATGATTTGACTACATACCTTTATAGTGGTTAGTAGTTGCATACCCCCTTGTCTTTCCCTAAAGGTGGTGACTGGGGGATCTGGAACGATTCTTCCTTGGGCGCTAAATAGCCCATGTTCAATTTCCCCTGGCACCAACCTGAGGAAACTAATTGGCGGATCCGTGTCATTTTCATGTGGAGGTCAGAACCTCATCTTCCCGTTTCGCACGGCAAAGTGAATTCAGCCGATTCCGGGGCCCCTGATGTTCAGTCGACCCCCTGGAGAAGTTCACCAACAGGAAGCCAAAACGAGAAGCTAGGAAAAGAAAGTCTATTGAACAGGCTTCATCATGGTTAATGGTTGGAACACCGTCAAGAATAGTTGGTGGACATGAAGCCCCTGTGCGTAATGTCCGCCAAAGTGATGGCAATGTTGGAGTGTCACAGACAAGGTTGGGTATCGGATTCTGCGCGGCAATGGTGCACCGGCTTCGATTACCTAGTTTCTCACGGGCTATAGAAAGGTCTGTACAAACCTTTATAACTATTTTGGGGTTGGGCTCTCAATTCGTTCAGACATCGTTTCAGAAGCCTTATCTGAGAGCACAGGAGAGTGTCAACGGGGAATCGGGCGGCGGATGGTTATTCCCCTCGTTGTGAGCAACCATTCAGGTACGCGCTGCATGTGTAAAAGCCAGCTATGATGCAAATGTGTCTGCATATGAACATATAGCATGTGCATGTTCGAAAGGCCTAGTTTGTGGAGTCCAACTTGGTTTGTTTGCACTTCCATAAATATGAGGCGTCTTCTGATTTGCAAAATGAAGGGGCCGTTGTACTTACATGGTGAGCACCAAAGGGTCTGGGACCCATTAAAATTCAGATCCATACCCCAAAAACGGCTGGCTTCCTTGCTGGCCTTGTGGCTAGGGTCCATTTTGACTCAAATCCTCGTTGTTTCTACGGCGATGCCTTGAGGTCGGTGGCGCACTTCGAGCGCTTCTTCCAGTTCACCGTCATCGCCTGCTTCGTGCGGTGCCTGGCCGTACGCCGCACCGGCAAGCCCTCCGCCAGCTTGCAGCCCTGGCACCTCGGACGGGGGGCAGTGCGGGCAGTGCGTCCATCCAAAAAGGGCCCAAGAAGAAAGCATTGGCTGAAATGAACGCCCAAGGCTTGGTTATCTAAAGGCCGAAGGAAAAGCACGCTGGTGTGTGTGTGTGTGTGTGTGTGTGTGTGTGTCTGTGTGTGTTT